CAGACAATGCGAATTTTGCTTAGTCATATTAAAATCAAGCCAAAGTACTGAAGCGTATAATCTTAATATACTACCACTACGCAGCACTGGCTTGACTGCCAGTCCCTCACAAGGCAGAAATGAATAGCAAAGCGAGCTAAGCCTCTTCCAGATCAGAGTTTATGGTGTGCTGGTCGTTACATCAAATATTTATCTAATTTTATAGTCAACAATATTGCTCGTATTCGTATTAAGTGGGAATTCTAGGCTATCCATAGAGTTCGAAGAAGAGCTTTACTTCCCATAGGTCACTTGACGTGATAAATGTATGATGGTGAATTTTTCTAAAATAAGATGAGTTGGCCTCGTGATGCCCCCAACAGGTATTATCATCGAAGATGGATCAGAGTTTCGATCTCGCATAGACCTGATTAGCCCACCCTCAGCGGGTATTGAGATGGGGATTGAAATGACATTTTAGTCTCGATGTGAATATCTTTTAAGAAGCAAGACCTGCTTATCCCATTGTGGGAAAATTGACTATGAGTCCTTCAACAAATTAAGCGACTTATGGTGACTAAAGTTATTATATTTTTCGAGACTACCAGTAACTCAGATATATGAAATATGCTCACCATATTCCGTTTAGATATGAAAAACTAGTGTCTAAATTTTCCTACAATGATATGAGTAAGACTTACGCTTCCATTGAATTTAATCTGGCCTTACCCTGTGGGCCATCTCGGATATGAATAGCTTTCGGGAAGCAACGCTATGTGAAATGCATCATCTTAAACGAAATAGGGAAAACACATCTCGTATAAAGTTATTATAAAAAATCTACTGATAGTCTCAAGACCATACTTAATTCGAAGGTCAAACGAAACGTATTGTGAAGTGTATCCATTCCTTACGCTTGAAGTTATGGTCTTCGGTAGTTAACATTTAATGTATTTTTCCCCATTTGTCACCTAAACTCTACCAGCACAACTGATTTCAGGAGGCGGCTCCAAAGCTGCCAAACTTGTCTAATTCTTCTACAATCGAATGTATAGGAGAACATATCACACTTACCACCTCCTCCTCAAGGACGGCCATTGCCGTGGCTGCCGCTCTTTGTCGGGCTGGCCAACGAATATGTTGGTGGGCAGAAGTGATATTTCCCATTCTCTCTTCTCTGCTTGTTGAGCAGTCAGCAGAACTCTGACGAATTAGCCGTCTGGAGTGGCGCTGGCAGGATGGCAGACCATTTGGACTCTCTACGGAACTCATTGAAGGTGACAAACGACCAAGTATGGGTCCACTACCTACGAGGGTTTGCCCGACAGAAGTAGTCTGATCTGGGGCCTCCGGCAGCGGGGACTGTTCACTAGCATGAAAGGAAAACGCTTTTGTCACGCGTTTTACTTTATCCGCCGTGTTCCGCCTGAATGGGAGTACATCTCTGCTCGTCGGTTAAAAAGTGATAATAGTGAGCAAATCATGAATGCAATAGAGGCGATTGGATAGTTTGCTGCTTAAATGGAGGAAATGAGGACATTTAGGGTTAGGGATAATTTGTTTCCGCAACTTGGTCATATTGGCAGAAGGACCTAGAGGAAGGCACCTTGTCCGGAGTCCATTGTATGCATAATCATTTCCAAAGTCGGACTATGGACGTGGTACATTCCCAGACGTTTCGCATGCGACGAGTTGTAGCTTGGTGTTGAGAATGGACTCCGGAAAAGGTGCATTTATCCAGGGCTTCCTGTCAATATGACCAAGTTGCGAAAACAAGGTCAAACAACTTTTAACCAAGGAAAGGAGACCGCGATCATACAAAACGCCACACCTCGTTTTGCAACTTAGTTGTAGCAACAGGAAGCCCTTGTGGAGCCTATCTAATCCTGCGTCCTCTGCCAGAGTGTCTGTTATTGGTTCCATTTCGCCAGTATTTTAGTCGGAATCGTCACTGGGAGGCGCCACCTTTAGCACAGAGTTACAACTTTTTACTCATCACTTTGATAAGTTGTAACTCTGTGCTAAGGATGTCGACTAAAATGCCGGCGAAATGTCTGGGAATGTACCAAGTCAATGGTTCGATGCTGGAAATTACGACGAATACTATGGCAGAGGACGCAGCATTAGGTAGGTTCCACGAGGTATTTCTGTGGCTACGATAAGTTGCGAAAATGAGGTCAAATCAAAATATACAGTTAAAGGAGGCTGAGACCAAACAAAAGGCCACGCCATCTTGGTCCTCATATTTAGGGATAGTTTGTCCAAGTTATTTTTCAGTCTCTCTTTAAGTTTGGCTGGTACATACGACGAAAAAAAACAGAAATAAAAACAAAATATTCTGAATCAAAGATGCTAACGAGGTACTTTTTTGAAGGGTCCTAATTCTGTCGATGAATCATGCCATCCATTCTCCTCCAGTACAGACTGTTGTATTTTATTGCAAAGTCAACAGATGGACGAGATTCTCGAAGTCACCAGCACAGCCGTCTCTTACTCCTCACATATATCCGTGCATCGTCTAGTTTCAGGAGACCAGAGAATTCAAAAAGTGCTCCTCAATTGGCACGGTTACTATTTCAGTGAAACATAAACACTGTATATGCGACAGTATAGCTGAGGCTAAAGTCAAGTTTGGAAGAGAGGTTACGTTTAAAAAGATTTTGTCCAGTTTTTTTATGTTCTCGCATGCTGTGCACCTTGTTTTTATTTTATACCTTCCAATGCATACTATGGGCAAATTGAGACTCAAAAAGAAGCGATGGAGCATATAGTTAAAAAGTGAGATTGCAGGAGTTTACTATACGGCCATTACGTATCGAGCTAAAAATATAATCATATCCTTAAAGCCGAATTAGCCTAGTAAAATAAGGCAGTAATTTGCTTAAATTCTAGCAATTCGCAAAATAATAACTAATTCATGCAATGAGCGTGTCGGGTTGGCTGCAGACCAGTAATTGTGAACTGGAGCAAAAGTCGTCTGTATAACTTTATGTACTTTAGTACCTTAGGATTAAGATAGCTAGAATAAAATCAATTGGAGACGTCATGAGAATTAATGTCGTCGAACTAGATACAGTGAAGGTGTTTCCTCCTATGAAGCAGACCTCCCTCTTGCCTCATGACTGCACTAGAGGGGTTCAATTCCAGTCATTGTGGATTCAGGGACAGATTTGGTTACTTCCTTTTCAGCATCAAATAATTCTGATGAAACTAATCCGCCCTATCAAGAAGAGTTCCGTAACTGATTTTTGCCGAGATTTTAAGGAATTGCTGACTCTCTATTCATCCCTAAAGAGAACGAACTAAGTGGATGATTAGATTGTTTCGGGTGCCAGATGAGGTCGAATTAACCAGCAGAATCAAACCTCCCTCCTGATTTGTCACGGGCAGCTCAAAGTTCAGGCAGTACAGGTTGTTGAAATAAAAAAATGATCATGACCTTGTTTTCGCAACTTATTCGTGTCTTCAGGAGGAGTCAACGTAGGAAATCTGTACTTATTCGCCATTTATAAGTTTCCATCGAATTTCGCATAGCCTTTTTTCATAAAAATTATATTCTCATCCAGGATGGTTAGTAGTTTCAAACTCGCATAGGTCTAATCAACATCCCAGCGAAATGTGTCAAAGCTATACGCTGTACTGTCATGGTTCAAGTACCGTTAGGGGTGTTGATAAGACCTAGGGTAGTTCGAAACTGCAATCTATCCCAGATGAGAATACCTTTTGGAGAGGCAATGATATGTGAAATTCAATGGAAACGTAAGGCCTACTCATATATTTGTGGGAAATACGAATAGAAACTGGGTTTCGATGAATCTCCTGGGATAACATTGTTGGAGGGACTTTCATTTCGTATGAAAGTCGTATAAAAACCAAACGGATGCAATGCAACGGGATTCATCCGTCCTCTTCTGGTGAGATAAACCTACAAATCTCTTCTTCATGCCCTTTCAACATTGTGGGAAAATTCAACGACCAGTCCTCTTATCACCTTAAATGAAATAGAATGAATACATATCATG